GGGAGGGAGCCGGAGGGGAGAGGAGGGGGTGACCGAGGTGCTGTCTCCCGTCTGCCGCAGGAAGCGTTTTGGACCAGAGCCTGGAGAGCCTCCTGCACCGCCTGCGCGGCCTGTGTGACAACATGGAGCCGGAGACCTTCCTGGACCACGAGATGGTGTAAAAAAAAAGGGGCAGCAGGCCAGCCCCTTCGTGCTGCGGGCGCGGCGCTCCATGGACAAGAGCGGGATGCCCTGGCACTTGCGCTACCTGGGGCAGCCGGAAATCGGCGACAAGAACCGCCACGCGCTGGTGCGCAACTGCGTGGACATCGCCACTTCGGACAACCTGACGGACTTCCTGGTGGAGATGGGCTTCCGCATGGACCATGAGTTCGTGGCCAAGGGGCACGTGTTCCGCAAGGGCATCATGAAGATCGTGGTGTACAAGATCTTCCGCATCCTAATGCCGGGGAACACGGAGAGCATCGAGCCGCTCTCCCTCTCCTACCTGGTGGAGCTCAATGTGGTAGCTCCAGCAGGACAGGACATTGTTTCTGATGACATGAGGAACTTTGCTGAGCAACTGAAGCCTCTAGTGCACCTGGAGAAAATTGACCCCAAAAGGCTAATGTGATTGGAAAACTGGGCAGTCGAGGCATTAGTTTGGTCAGCGTTCCTGAAGAGGGTGTGTTTCTAAACTGCCTCTTGGGGGCAAATTGAAACAGGGAGAGGGGAATAAAGGACTACGGATCCGTGTTTTGTCAACGGCAGTCAAAAGAGTGTTTTTTCCTTCACTTGCGAATGTGAATAAAAGTGGGCACTTCTTCAAATTAATGCCATTCAAAACATCAGTAAATGCTTTCCTTCCCTTAGGGAGACACCTGTTAGAAAGCACGTTGCCTAACAATCCAAAACAATCCCAAAACGTCAGACTTACTGAAATTCGTATTTCTATCTACCCACATCCTGGTGCTGCTTGCTTTTATTTTTTATTTTTAAAGCACCATTCCTGTATCCTCTTTGCCTTTAAGTAAGAAGAACTCATCCCTTTTGCATTTAAGAAGTTAATATTCTTTCGTGCAGGAGATGTTGTTAACACAAGCATAAAACCTGGAACAACACTGTAAAAGAGCAAGTGTACGCCTGTTTGCAATAGAATAGTAACAGCGTGTACAACGGGAACACCTGGGGCACAGGAACTTTATAGTGAAACTGTTTCTGATACAACTTTCCAAAGTTAGAATTGGAAAACAATTCAGCAACATCACAACTGTAAGAGGTTTTCACATCTTTCATCGCTGTTCCATCGCTTTTCACTGAAGTTGGGCGTGGCAGTCTTAGTTGATGAGAATGCAGTAATTTACGTTTTTTTTTATTATTGGACGTCTCATACCTGACAGCAATATTGAAAACTGACACATTTAACAATCAAGAGCATCCTACAGCTGCTAATTGAACCTGTGATGACTTTGTTTAGCAGCTGCTCTCTTGATAGTCAGAGGTTATTTACCCTCTCTGTATTCAGTGATGCTGGAATTTGGTTTGAGAGTTTTCAAACGCAGTTCAAACAGAAAAGGGTTGGGAGAAACAACAAAGATAAGGAAGCTTATTTAAACTTCAGGTTCGTTACATAAGGCAACCATTTTACCCATTACTGAAATGCACCAAACTGTTGGTGACGCCACCTTGAATACCACAGAACTCTCCAACTATGGGTAAAGACCACTTACACGAAAAGCCTTGAAAAAGGCCTTTTAAGTTAACAGCTACATTTTCAGCAGTGGCGTGCGGACGAGATATGCCACGACAACTGAATTAGTCACTTTGCTGAACGCATAGCAATGATTTCCAGCAGGACGCCAGCTGGAAATGAGGCGGGCTGTGTGACTGCTCCTTGCCTAGACTGGAAATATTTTCTGCAGGGTTGCAGACACACCTGCAATTGTTTTCTTCGTACTCACGACTCTCCCTCGTCAGACAGCACGCTATCCTGGGCTTCCTCCGAGTCTGGAATTCTTTAGTATACTGTTAATGGGCATAACTTGCCAGGGGGCAAGGGGTAGGTCCCAGAGCTCTGCCTGTACCTGGGAGCTGAATTTGTCAGGTTGCTCCAGGATTCAGACACAGGCCCACCCTGGCAGGTGGGAATCCTCAGGGATGTTGTCATATCCTGCCACTGTAGCACTGGCTAGGAATCGCTTGTCGCGGACTTTTCCACGGTCCATGGCTCATCTCTTGTGAGATGAAATTTTAGAAATAAGTGCGACGGATCAGAAAAGTTGAACAATATATGCCAGCTTTTTAAGGGGTACACAGTTTTAAGTATGAAGACACACAGAAGTATGCAGGTCCTTCCCGTTGCACGCAAAAGGAGCTGATTTGCTAATTTACCTTCCAAGTTTCTTTCTAAGTGGGGAGGCAAACAAATCACAGTGTTGATGTTAGCGTAATTGTGGAATTTCAGGCAGACCAGCTCAAGAAAAAGGGAGGCTGAATTGAAAAGGAGACTTCAGTTCTTAACTGAAGTGAAGTTTTTACACTTTAGATGACAATGGGTCTGACTATTGCTTGGTCCGAGTTCTCAAAAAAAAAAAAAGTTCTTTTTAAGCAGAACTAGTTTAAACCTTAAAAATTACAGCAATCCACATTACCAGCCTTCCTTATTCGAGCTGTAGTCAATGCATAGAAGGCGCAGGTGTGCAGAAAAAAGCTAAGTGCATCAATGGTTACAGCTGAAGACAAATGGGACGCTTTCATGCACCTAAAACTCCCAAGTGTGTCATCCCTTTCTTTTATCTAACAAAATACGCTTTTCTCCTCCGGTGAAACTTAGCTTTTACGGCTGGAGAGTAAAGACAATAGCAATACTATTAGCAATACACACTGGTAAACTGCACAGCACAACCCTAACTAATTATCACTCATTGTATCCAGGGTCAAATTACGTTATACTTACACAGATGGCTACAGAAACGTGCAACCTCTCCTTGCTGGAGAGTACGTGTTTTTTTAAATTACATGCATAACTTACAGGACCAAGAATGTGACTGTATTCTTTTTATTTTATTTTGGGGGATTTCTTTTTGCCAGCTAAAATAGCTGCATTCTTCAAGGGCAGGGCTTACCTCAGGACTCTTATTTGTTGCAATGTATCACCTGAGGCTTGACACAGCTGAGCCCAAGATAAGTTTTCTTTCTGTGCAAGTCATGCCTTTTGTTATTTCAAACTGTTGCTCCAGTCTTGCATGCTTGTTAAGTTTTCTACATCTTTATGGGTTACGAAATCCCTGCATCACAAGTAAAGCTAGGGTTATTAGTGATCCATTAGGCACCAGATATGCCTGCTATTAAGCTCACCTCAGTTCTTAAAAATTCTTCATACTTTAGAAAAAGCCACAAGTTTATCCTCTTGCACTCCTCAGTCCTGGGTCTCTAGCCTTCCATAAGGTCGCTAATTCTGTAGAAACGAAGACAAGAGCTGAAATACTTTGGAAGTGCTCTATAAAAGGCTATACTGTACAGGAACATCTTTTGACATGCCTCCGGTATGCTAGCACAAAACAAGCTTTTCGATACATAATCGAGTGTGGCATTCAAGTTTTCATCTCAGTAACCTCAGTAATACAAACTGCTTTCCTGTAAAATGTTTTCCATACATTGTAGTATTGTATGTAACTTTATCCATGATCTTAAAGTCAGTTAAAAGGTAAAACGTTTTAAATAAGTTTCTCCAAAGCACTGAAAGTTAAAAACAACTCCAAACCAGGATTTTTTCTTCATAATTTTTTAATACTTTCCACTTTTAAATACTGCTTTTAGATTTGTGATTGTAACATGGAAGAGCCAACTTCTTTTAATTTTTAAAACTTATCATTAGGGTCATAAAGCTATTATAGAACAAACAGTTACACTACACACTCAAGGTACTCAAAAATATGATTCATGTTTTAAAGTCTGTAGACGAACAGTGGCAATTCAAATACAGCATCATCTGTACAACTTGACAAAAATACAGGTGGACAATCTGATTAAAGAGAATCTGCACAACTTCAGATAAGCCAGCTCAGCCCAATTAAGTAAAAGGTAATTCTTTTTTTTCCAAAGTGCGTCACATTTTTCACAGATAAATTCGTCAAAATAGGATGTTCAGGTTCTCAGACAGAATGACACCAATGACCATCTCATCCTCATTCCCAATACAAGTTCTATCAAGTCATTTCCTTCAGATCTAGTTTGGCGATGTCCAAATTCTCCAAATGGACACAGCTACCCAGAGAACGATATCTGATGGAGAAGACTGCCGCCTTCTCAGCCCTTCAAACTGGTTTAGCTTATAAAAACACCCATTCTAGAGCCAGGAGCTGCTGCTGCAAAGACCACCGCAGCTGTATAAATACTCCCGGATCCATTAACAGGAAGATGCAAACTCAGAGCACACAGATCCATGGCAACGACTGAAAAGAGGGATGGGCTCAAGAGACAGCAAATTTTATGAAACCACAAAAGCAAGATCCCTTCCAGAAGAAAGGATCTAATGGCTACTTGCACACAGACAATCTGAGAGGCCTACAGAGAACTGCCTTTTTAAAATTTGTTTTCAAAAGAGGTCAATTAATACCAATTTCTCAATCTTGCAACTCCTTCCATGTTCTTCAAGAAACCTCTTGCAATTCTGATTGGGCAGGGCTAGCTGTAGTGAAGTACCAGTGCCTTCATCTAAAAGTAAAATGTATTCTTTACAAATAGTATCTGTAGTGTAATTTTATTTACAGAATAAATTGCAAAAGTACATCACATTTAGTGCAAATGCAACTAATGATACAAGTTTATATACTGCTTTGTAAACTTTCCATACCTTTGTAAAATAAAGCTATCCAATTTAATTAATAAACTCGCCTGTGTTCCAACAACTACCAGAAATGGCAAATAAGGAGTTAAACTCTTTATATTTTGGATTTTTTTTTTTTTTTTTAAAGTTCCCATCAGTGGCTACGGTGGAATGAGCCATTGCTTGGTTGATTGTAAAAAGATGAAGTACATTTGAGGTATAAGATTTTTTTTTCACATTGCTATATAAAATGCTCACTGGTGATACAGTAAACACGTACAAATTTTCATCTTATTTGCCTTACTAGCATTACCATATAGGCACTTTTCTACATATTCAAATGAACAGAATAGCTCTGCAATAAGGCATATTCCATGCACACCATTAGAGAAAGGCAAATAAAAAGATATGAGATATGGAGCATGAAATCTGCATGCATGTGTAATCACATGTTAGGTATTTCATCTCTATGGGGGAGATGAACAGATAAAGTTTTCAACACTGTGCAGATCACATATAATCATTTACCAAATGTTCATTAAGTTGCTGTATCCTATTTATGTTCAGGCACCTACCACACTACATCAAATAAGACTTTCAGCTTTCTCTTGAAAAAAGCCATCTGAAACTTTTTTCTTGAGATGCACAGGTTAGTGAAACACTGAGCAGTCTCTGAGGAGTCTCCAGATATGGGACGTGGATAAAAGACCTCAAAGTCAGTACCAGTCTGCCACACTGCTCTCCTGATGAACATCTCCAGAATCAACGTCAGGCAAAAACCTGACATTTAAAATCTCACAGCAACTAAAGGGAACTTTCCAAAAAGAACTACGCATCCTTATAGCTCCAATGGGTTTTTGATCAAGAGGCAAATAACTTTCTATGCGAACCTCACAGCATGGCTTTATTAAGACGAGGAAAACACATGCAGGATCTGAAAATAATGTACTCATCCTCATTCTAGACTGGGAATGTTGTCTTACGTAGTCCAAATTTCTTCAATATGTATTATAGTGTACCTTCTTACAGCTTTGGGAAAGCCCTGGATATCATGCAAGAAAGCAGTTCACATATAGCACGGACAGATGACTTCTAGCTTTCAGGCAGTCTCTTGCCCTCTCATAAAAAAATCCTACTAGATATTTCTGGATCATGTTTAACAACAGAAAGTCTGTAGCACATATTACATAACTAAAAAATACAATAGAAATATAAAGATATCTGGAAAAAAAATAAAGCTTTTCACACTCTTACTCCTTCAGAACCAAAGATCGTCATAAGAGTAAGTCAATAGAAAAGGCAAAGTCATAAGGATATTGACAGCCCTCAGTTATTAACTGACATTTTATGTAACAAGATGATTCATTATAGAAACCAGCAGCAATGAACTATGATTATACAAAGCAAAATGAAACCTGCCAATAAGTCACCTAGGCTTTACTGACATCCCTCCCTCTCTCCCCAAAACACCACGCAGATTTATTTTTGTGCATATAAAACACATACAGTATGCCATATGTGCATCTGTCTTTTGTGCTTTTTAGACATGCACAAAACCTGCGTTTCTTAGGAAGGTCTGACAGCGAAATTCTGCAACTTGTTTAAAATTAAAGCAGTAACCCATGTTGGTGATTCAAAGTTGAACGCATTCTTCTTCTAGAGCAAGCAAATAAAAATAGAGCCATATACATGTTATCGATACATGTATTTATAATTACACACTGATTCAGCAAGAAAAGTTAGCAGGAGAGAGCTAGTGTTAAATATTCAGCCTCATGGTGTTGCAACACTTCTTCACTTCAGTATACAAAGCCTAGAACTTGGGCCATAAAAAGACTGTAGATCCTTCGTTCCAGCATGGAGTGCTCTATGTGTGGTCACTTCTCCAACACGGAATGCTCACCCAGTCTTGTTCTGATGGCTGCAGGTAAGCAAAGACAAAAATACAGCACTGAAAAGTTTGAACACTAATAGGAAAACAAGAACTTGTTAAACACCTTAAATAGTATCTGCACTGCTATGATCGATCGTGTTTGAACTGTTGGCTCCTGCCAGCTGTGTTTTTAATGGTTCACCTACAGTAGTTCTCTAATAATACACAATTACAAATGTGAATCATTACAGGGCTACCTGTTCCAGGATCAAATGAGTAAGACTTTTGGAGTCTGACATAATAAATAGAACGCAAAAATAGAGGTAGCCTATGTCATGCATAGACAAAGTGGAAAAAACCTCATTTTTCAGATCATGCTGTAACACTAGAACCATCAAATGTAATTTGATGGTCTAATGCTACAGTTATAGGTATATGACAAGAGTATTCACTGACAAAAGTTAAGCAAAGCCTTAACTTAGCACTAAGGCTTATGTCTGACAGATTCAGACAGCCTCAAAGGTGATCAAGAAATCCTCTTCTAATGTCGTATCATCATCTAAATGTCAAAACCATTTTATACTAGCCCAATGAGCTATACCATTAAAGTGCATCCACTGACTTCAGAAAGCATCTGTAAATCCCTTTTCTTTCTTAGGCTCATCATTTAGAAAAGCTAAAAATTGAAGGCACAGCCTTTGAAACACTCCAGTAATTGACACCAGTCTGTCAGTAAAGTTCCATTGATAAAAATCCTATATCAAAACAATTCTGTCAATATAAAAGAATACTTTGACCTTCATAATATTCTATCAAATACGCAATTGTAAGTAGAATTTAAGATATCCAAGCCTCATGAGGATCCAGAGCAACTTCAGTATGTATTCTTTTCAGAACAAGTGTTCTTGTGCAGCCTGTGATAGCTGAGAAAAAAACAGTACTTCCTCCTTTTCTACTTCTACGTAAGTTAGACACACATGCAAAAACTTGCAAGATAAACTAGTAAAAGTCTACAAAAACTAATACTTGATAACTTGTGCAGCTCTTATTTTTCATGTTAACACACACGAATTACATGAATGTTTTAAAAAGTATATTGCATACGTATATTAAAACTAAGCACTGAATACATGTTAATCATTTCTATATTGAGTGCTTCTATTTGGGCTTAAATTTACAAAAGTGAATCAAGAATGAAAAAAATTAACATATACCTGCTAATACTAGAACAAAATAGGCTTTCCTGCTGTTTTCTCTTGCACATAGGATGTAAAACGCTTCAAGAATTTTGGATATTCTCGTTTTGCCACTGCCCGTAACACTGATGCTGGTGCCCATCCACCTGGGTTCACTAGAAGTACACAGGAAGAAAGACAATGAAACACAGCAAATCCACTACAGGCTAGAAAAGAAAATTTTGTTATTCCTGCAACTCTTTCTGAAGTAACAGGAAAGAATAACGATCAGTACGTTTTTGTAATGCCCTTACAGCTTGTATTGTAGCACTTTCTACTCTTAATACCCAAGCTTAGTCCAGTTCTATGACGCCACTGCTAAGAAAACATTAAACATGATGTGTTGTGAGTCTTTGGGGAATGCCCAAATGTAAGATAGTATTCTCTAAGGACTTCCAAGAAACAACAGAGAGAGACCTGAGTAACTTCTTATTTCAAAGAAGTCAGTCTTAACTTCTCAATAACTCATGCATTTTTCTGCAGAATTTCTACACAGCCAGTGTCTTACAAATTATTTTTCAAGTACTTCAAACAAAATTCGAATTGATTCTAAAATACACGTCAATTCACAGGGCAAGTATTTTGCTCAGAAAGCTGCCACTTCCCATATAATCACAGTTCAGAATTTATCAATGAAAATATATTTTCCAAGTAATTTTTAAAAATGAAACAAAGCAGCTCACTCCAGTGTAACACTATTCTTCCCTCTGAGGGTGGTGAAGCACTTGAACAGGTTCCCCAGAGAAGTTGTAGATGCCCCATCCCCGGAAGTGTTCAAGGCCAGGCTGGATGGTATTGTGAGCAACCTGATCTAGCGGAGGGTGTCCCTGCCCATGGCAGGGGTGTTGCAACTAGATGATCTTTAAGATCCCTTCCAACCCAACCCATTTTATAATTCTGTGATACAGGATTATTTGTACAGGATTTAATACAAATTACATTACTCCTACATATGAAAGATTTACTGAACCAATTTTTCAGACTTTGACTCTATAGTAAGCCATGTAATAGGTGGTTAAAATTAATAACCAGGTGAGCCACTCCTGAAGTGTTTTGTAGCTGTAGGATGGGAGCTAATAAGTATGTAGCTCCAATGCTGCAATACATGGCTAAATACTGGGTACGGTAACAATACAGTTTGGCTTTGAGAACTTTTTGGTCAATACCAAGGATTCTATCAGTTAAAAATAATACAATATACAGACTAGATCGTACAGCTTGCAAACATACTCATACAAAACATATCTGCTCCTTCTCAACACTAAGGGCAAGAACTGTATCTTTACTATCAGCAGCTTTTCAGCCTAAGAAGATGAATCAGAGGAAAAAAAGTTACAGCAATACATGAAAAAATCCATACTATTACTGAAACTAAAAAGCTACACCAAGTTGACCCAGTTGCAGACACTTCTGCCCACCTTCTTCCAACCCAAGCTCTGTACTGAGGACTGAGCTATACACCATTTCCATTTATTCCTCCCAGAATGCCACACAATGAATGATCCCATTCATTGATTCATGTAGCACATCAAATTCGAGTCTTTTTGAACATGAAGACCACAAGCATGCTGCTATATAAAAGTTTAACAGAAAACTGCATGAAGTTTTTTTTGCCACTGTTAGCTCCCCAGAATTAGTATATATTAAGAATGTCACACCGAAAAATTTTTGACTTACCATTAGCTACATATGTAATCTTGCATAGGATGTTGTCCCTGCTTATCTCCTTGTTCCCCTCTGGTGGGCTTACTAACGTCTGACAAATCATAGCAATATTTATTTTGGCACGGACGCAGCGATTGTTCAGCTGCCAAAAAAATGAAACGTTTGTAAGCCTCAAACTAAATTTGTTTCAGCATACTTGACTGCTAATGTTTTATTATGAAGTCTAAGACTCTCCAGAAGCCATGTTTCTGAGTTTGCCTTCTAGCATACAGGATGTAACATGAATGTGAATGAAATGAAAGGTACACGGTGAACAGAGAAAGGGTTAAACTAAAATGCCTGAATCTCAGGTTTCTGCTTGCTTAATACACATTACAAGTGAATTACTGCAATTATTGTGACAAATGAGTACAGAAACATTTAAAGAATAATATATCAGCATTTACAAGTGTCAGTTAGTAATTTTTCCCTTGTAAGCAGGCTATGGCATAGCAACCAGCACAGAGATACTCCAAAGAAAAGAATCATTGCTACTATCTGACAGAACCAAGGCAGAACTGCCTAAGATGGAGCTTTATCAGATTCCATATCTATATAATTACACAAGAATCCTCCTATATCTGACAATACTGAAGAGTTATTGATTTGATTCCTTACAAAATAACCTCAATTCTTTGAAATGTTTTCCCATCTCCAGAAATTTTGCCTCCATTCTGCTGCAACACGTTAGATCTGCTAACTGTTGAGATAAGGCAAGAAAGCTTTTGGCTTAGAATGCCTTCATCAGGTCAGTGTATCACCTGGTTTAAACAAACTATATTTTTGCATAACCTCCCACCTTCCTCACCCTAGTACTGCACATGCACTACCACGTAATAGAAAAATGTTATCTTAAAACCAGAACTTGATAGAATGAAAATAATACTTACAGGAGCGCTGTCATGTTCCACAGAGAAATTGCATACAATCCACGTTTCAGGATCATTTTCACTGAATGCTGGTATCTTTCTGATGGCAGACAAATACAGGACATCCCTTTGAGAAGCTGGCCACACCCTCTGCAGAGAAACACCTGAATATAAGCTTTTCCAGTTTTGCAAATTAAGTACTTACTATCCTTATGTAAAGGAAAAAACAAGGAAGGCAAACCAGGTCAGTCACGTTATGTAAGTAAAAGTTTCTTCAAGTTAGTAATTTCATTTTCAAAACTGAAACAGAACATAGCTGTTGTACAGATGCATAGCAGGTTATATGGCTACGCTTAATTTAAAAAAAAAATAAGGCAAAATTTAAGGTCTTTGAAATGAAAAGCCAAGCTGCAATGACTTTTTCAGTAGACAAAAGGAAGAGGTAGTTCTCCTCCTGTTCCCTCAACCTCAGGTTCATATTTTAGTTAATACTTGTAAGTTACAAACTGAACTAGTGGTTCAGTATAAATAGATGCATCTACAGTTACTCTTGTCTCCAGAGAGTGAGAGAAATACTTAAATATTATTTCAAAAAGCTACTACTTCAGTAAGACAGATATAGTGAACTGATATTATCTAAGAGAAAGTTTCAGAAGCAAAATGTCTGATAAAGTAACAAAATACACAAAAGCCATTCTTCTGACACTCAACAGGGGAAAAAAAGTCTAGCTTTTACTACAACACTACACATTTTCCACAGCTGTCTTCTCAAAGTCACAAGTCCTATGCTACAGAAGTTTTAAGGTAACATTACTGGTAAAATTGTCAAAGAAAAATATTTGGTTTAGTATTTGAGTGTATTAGTACTTGGAACCACCTAAGATTAAAGATGAATCTGTACACTTCATTCCCATTTTTTTGAACCTTTAAGTTACAGTTGTTGGGTTATAATTCAAATGAACATTCTAGTGAACTGCTTGGGGGGGCAAAAACCAAAGTTACAAGAACAAATGTTGTACCAGCAATTATACCACCTCATAATGCAAATGTGTGTGTCAACTAATTGTGGTCAACAATAGCTTGCATTATTGCAACAAAACATACCATACAGCGGTATGTGTTTCTTCGTTGCAGTCAGTGTCGATTTATTGCTTCAGTTCGCTTTAGATGACTCTTGCCTTGCTGGCAGTGAATACGTTTTGAGATTAAAAACAGTCCTCATTGTTATTACAAACTCTATCGGACACACGCACAACCAATTACGCTATCAAGACAAGTTTGAAAAATTGACAAAGCTGCAGTTTAATAGAGAACTTGTTCTGAACAGTTGTTTTGAATTTTAAGTTGTTAAGCCGTTAAAGTATTCAGAATAAGATTAGAACACATATGCCCTAGACTGTCTCAGTGAGGTATGCATACGGCTGAAGTTTTATTACCTTATGTGTCTGGTAAATGATGATTGCATTATCAGCTAAATTTTCCACAACATGGAAATTTTCAATTGTTGCTAAAAGAGGAGGGAGGGAGGAAAAAAATCCATTAGTAAACAAACACAGATATTAGGTCAATGTTATAAACAGTATCCTTGCTGATAAACATGCAAAGCTTAAGAACCAATTCCTTACTTTCCCAGTCATTACGAACATCAACATTCCAGAAGTAGTGGCAAACTTCATGCCCTGTTACCCCTTTAACAGCATGGGTTGCTTTCAAAGGATCTAAAACTATTCCGTTCTCTTCCACTTCTCTTCTGTATACCTATTCCAAAATACAGAGAAAGAAATGTAGAACAGAAATTGTCAAAACCGTTCATGTTTTTCATGTTTAAAATTCCTTCAGTTTTTTAAAAAAACACTTACCTAGAAGACTAACACATGAACAATTTGCCATGTCAGTGTTCTCTGGTAACTACCCATGCAGACATTCTGACATGGCATGGCAATTCACGTTACAATACCAGTATTTTAAGAATCTCTACTCCAAAAATTATTAAGCTACCTTATTTATCACTACACACAAATATCTATACGAGCACAGTAGAGCAGCCACAGTTAACTTGCTACTCGTAACATTTTTGTATATTGAATTTACATATCATTTTGGTAACAAGTTTTAAGCAGGAGAGAATGAGAAAGGAATCTGCAAAGACAAAGCTATTGCAAGAGTTACACAGAACTTCGTATGAATAAATACAAGCCACAGCTCTTGTGGACTCCAGTCCTAACTTAAACAATGCTATTCTCAGAGAGAAGTTTTAACAGCATAACTTACTGAGTGATAGTATTCCCAGGGAATCAGAGAATCATTTATGTTGCAATAGACACTTAGGATCGAGTCCAACCATAAACCTAACACTGCCGAGTCCACCAGACTGAAAGTATCTGTCTTCATAGCCTATCATCTTACATCAATTAAACAAAACCCAAAATGTTTACCTTCATTTCTCCTTCTTCTACCACTAGCTGCCAGTTGGCATCTCCTCCTACATCTTGCAAGGAATATGTCATATGGTTTTGTACCATCTCTTCAACCTTTAAAGAAAAAGAAAAAATACACATTTTAAGCTTACTCCTTCCATCTTCTTGGGCAGACTGTACAGTACTGGAAACCACAAGTCAATACTTCAAATCCTGTGCAGGAGCTGAATTTGGACAACAGAGCTTTCTATTATAGGTTAAAAGCAAGAAGATACTTCTGGCCTTCAGAAACAAAAGGCAAAATCTTGATACAGCTTCCGACTTCATCCTTTATGGATACTTCCTGTCCTTCCCTTTGCACCTCCAAACTGTCAAAACTCACTATTTCTACCTAAGGCAGTTCTATTTCAGCATATAGGAACTTACTTCAGGTATATCTAAATAGAATTACAATGTACTAAGATATTCACTGAAGAGCACTTAAAAAGCTGGGAGGAAGACAGACAAGCTCTAAAAAAGTAAATGCATATCAAAAGTCACATTGGAAGAACAGTGAAGGAAATTGTCATGGGCAAAGCATGCCTACTCTTTCATTGGCATCTTTGCACAGTTGCCAGCTAGAAAAAGAGAACAGAAATGCTTACATTCGAAACAATTATGATGATATAGAGACTCTACTATTATAAAATACTAATTTAAAAACTATTTAGCTAGAACAGTAGTGTACTTTTCTTAAAGGCCAAATATTTAATAAATTGTTATCAAGCTATGTGAATACCTAATTTTTTTTTTCCATACAATGTGCATGAAAATGGGTGCTGGGATGGGAAATGGATTTTTATTTTAAATCTACAGTCTTATTCTGTTTCTTTGGTTTCCCACCCCTTTCCAAATCCCACTCTCCCCGAATAAAAATAGAAGCAAAAATATAAGGTATCCATTGCTGTGTAATGTTTACAAGTACTGGAAACATTTTAATGTTTTACCACTCAAAAGGCAGGTGACTACTAAAACTTGTCACAGTTAATACGTTCATGTGATTGACACTATTTTCCTGAAATACTAGAAATACCTTTCTTTTTCCCCAACAGGAAAGGAACTACAAGCAAAGGTTAGTTAATTGACCAACACAAAGATTAGTCTAAGTGCACAATCACATGGTTAATAGTGTTTGTAAAATAACATATAAAACATGTATTTGAGCAAGTAGTACAAAAGTAGAAAGAAAAAAATAAAAGAGTACTTAATGATCTTTTTCTGATAAGATATAGACTTGAAAGATGTTATTTACTTTTAATTTAAAGCAGTACGTTTGTTTGTACTATATACTTCATGGGCAGTACGCTTAAGACCACAAAGGAAAAAGGCAATTGAATCAAGTCAAAATCCACAAAGTACAATATCAAAATAAAATCCACTGGATTGAAATTTTAGCTTATCTTATTCTAACTATAGACTTTCTCTACAGAAGGAAAAGTTATCGGTCCAGTTTGAGGCTGGCTTTTTTTGATTTGGTTTGGTTTTGAGTTATAGTGAACCAAAAACACCCTCAAGATTTGCCTTTCTGCTTTTAGACAGGCCATCTTTTCCTGCCAGTTACTAACAGGTTTCCTACAAAAGATTCTTCTATTTACTTTTTTTTTTTTCCCAGTAAAACAATGACAGTACAATCCAAGGCAAGTATGTGGGCTGTTTAAACATTCAGTTTATTAGCTTTAGGTCACTTAGGTCACACCTCTTTCAGAAAGGAATCCTCGCCATGCTCCCAATATTTTCCTGCAACACCTGCAGGTGTCTATATTCTTCCCCTCTAGCTCCTAATCTATTACAGACAAAGTTAGCTTTTGCAAGTTTGTTTTGTGTTTTGCTTCTTTTTGCTTTACGCAAAATGCAGAGGGATGAGTGGAATAGCAAGGAAAGAAGACAAGGAAGCATCCACAGGAATGCAATCTAAACAGTTTCTTATTTCTGCTTCACCAAGGAACTGCAGTACCTACAACTGCCCTGTGCATACTACCTGTACAAACTATGTAATCTATGCACTGGCCACTATCTGTCAACCTGCACCTATTTCAGAGGCAGAGTCACGATTCACAGCTTCTTTCACACTGGGGAGGCCACACTATTACCTCTGGGTTCTTGGCAGGCTACAGGAATGGTCTGCAAAATACTGGTAACCTGTACGCCATGCAGGCTTGGCCTGAACGTTAAATGGGAAGTTCTTCACTTTAAAGGCCCTCAGAACATCTCAATTTATTTTAAAATCTGATACTCCTTTAAAAGAAAGTGATCTCAAAATATCTACAGTGTTTTAAGCCCACAAGCCTCCACTCAACTGGCAAAGAGAAAGCAATGCCTTTCTAAGGACGCACTGAAGAACCAGCTACCATCAGAATACATGTTTATACTTCTCAACCTTAAAAACAAGGCTGCAAGTTTCCGCTTGACCTTTTACTGATACCAAAATTCCCTTCGTATGAATGAAGTTTAGAAACAAGTCTATTTAGAGTTTAGCACATTAGCTTGCTTTTCCAAAAGCCAAATCCTCAGCCTGGGGACAGAGGCCAATGTCATATTAGTAAGGTCCAGAGCAGGCTGCCACCAAAAGAAGGTGCGCTGTTTTTCTCTTCATGCTCTCAGTCATCTTTCACCTGCTTCAGTAGCAATGAAGCTCCAGAGCAGGTGGACTGACTTGTTGATCTGGCAAAAATTTGTTCTAGGGAAAATATTTGGGGTGCAGGGGGTGGGAACAGTAGTTTCCTGTAAGTGAAAAAGATCATCCTTTCTACAGTGAGTCCATTAACTTGAAACTGCATTTGAAGGCACTCAGTAGTAACTTCTGCATAGTATAATTCATGCAGCAGCAGAAAAGAGCAACAACTTGACTCCATTCCATTTGATCCTGATCCTTAACCTCAACCTGCATTATTGTAATAAGGACCTGGTCAACATCAGATTTGTTTTTAAATAGTTAACGTTTCTCAGCCACACTAGTGCCTGATACTCAGGTTTATCATATGAATGCACAAACATTATCACAGGCATAAAAGAAGTCAAAATGAGGAGACTTATATTTTAGCAACTACGAGTTTCCCTTATAATGAACTGCCCATGTACCCATAGCCTGACAGACAATCAGTTCCTATCTTTGGAATCAAACTTGCTTTCTGCTATTTGATTTCCCTCCTCCTCCCAAACAAAAACAAATTTGAAAAACTAACTTGACTACTGGAGTACCAGTAGATGAGCCTACCAGTATTGTGCACTACGACCTTCATACTTTTTCCCTTGCGATAAGTTCCAATTTCAAAAATCAACTGACTGCAAAAGGTCAAGGCAAGTGTTTGGATTTCAGTCCAATAAGCAAGTCCTTACGTGTTAGGGTCCTGCTCATAACACTGGTAGTAAGGTCTGCAGGAGGTACAATTCCAGGCTCTGCTATCAAAAGAAAATCCATTCCTTCTACTTGAAAAAGCAAGTTGTTTGCAGAGTTAGTTAATAATTTAGAAAAAACTCCAAAATAGCAGATCCCAGAATCTGATTCGCAGTCACATATGGACCACAGCAGACGGAAACTAATAGCATGAATGCCATGTCTGAACAATCATTTTGAGACTAAAGAGCAAGCACATGAACTCACCTATCTAATTCTACTCTAAACTTCAGAGTCTAAACTCTGATCTTCAGAGCAAGCACCTAGAGTAATTTTGTACGTTACTGGAATACGTCACTATTACTACATTGACATATTCAGGATGTCAGACTTATTTTCTAAAGGATAAGTGAATATATTGAAACTATTCAGTAAAAATTCTCAATCTTGTTTGTCACCAACATGCTTTATGACCTCTCAGTAATAAAACTGGTTGTAGAGTTAACAAATAGTAATGGTGAGCCTTAACATTTAGTATATTAATGTCATTAGAAATATACGTTAAAGACAAAAAACAAACCTTTGATTTAAAAGTTAGAAAAACTATCCAGTTTGAAGGAAAGATCATCCCCAGCCCACAAAAACACAGGTGTTATTTTACTTCTATTATAATCAGAAATGCGAAAATTTCAAATTGTAGGCATTTTTATTAAAGCTACTAAATTAAATTCAACAGTTTCACAAGATTTGGGCCTCTGCACAAGTGATATGCATGCAAGCTGGGTATAAAAAGACAACCATTTAGTACAGGAATAGAGAACTCCTTTGTTTGTCTCAACGAACTAGTTTAAAGCAAGCAGTGATTTATGTAACAAAAAACCCAGGTTCTAGAGAAGAGGATGAAATACAGCGAAGATATGCCACCCCCACTCTACACGTTAATACAGTACCTGGGCGCTGAATCTGTGAACATCATCAGAGGCACTGACTAGATCAATGGAAGACATGGAGGAAGAGCGACTATAGGGCTACCAGAGACAGACAAAGAAAAAACCAAGTAATCAGAACAAAGGCACAACAGAGCATTCAGTACCAACTTGCAAGCACAAGATAATGAAGAAAAGGAAAACAAAAGCACCACAAGCAGCAAGCACAGCAGCGAATGCTGATTTCATGCACCTATTATGTATTATGCTCCCAGGGTAGCCCTCAGAGGAGCACAGTGTTTCCAGTAACACTAAAAAAGTCAACTGATACAAGCAACTGTTGTGTTTGGTGGGTTTTTTTTTTAAATAAAATCAATTCAGTGAACTTTGGTGAAAGTACCTTAAAAACACTGAGGTTAGCAAGTTAGGATTTTTCCTTTATTATCTAACTGACAAGCTTGATACAAGTCAAATAGATACTCAAATCAGTATTTTTTTGAGCCAAGACAGAAAACAGTTCTCCAATTCCAGCTACCTCATTTGAAAATAAATAAATTATTGAAAGTTACTAGAAACACCTAAAAAAAAAAAAAAAATCGCACCTACCCATACAAAATGTTACATAGAAATATCATAGGTCAGCCCATTACTCAGAGGAGATCATGAGAAATATCTTACCTTTTGGACAAATCGATGAGTCCCCACAGCAGAATATGTATCTCCAGAAGGTAAAGATGTTGGCCAGTGTAATCTAACCTTTTCACTTTGGGACTGCAATGAAATAGGTTTAATTATTAGTGGTCAGCTGGTACTGTGTGGACTGTGAAACAGAGTGAGTCATCCTCAATCTACATAGTGGCTACAACAACTAATGCTATCCATGACAGGCATGAAGCCATCATCCTACTGGAATTCTCAGTAAGTGAATGGGCCTGAAGACTGAATTCGTCTATACTTCAAGGTGTGTTTCTGAGTTAAGGAAAACAGATTAGCAGTGTTAAAGATTCACGTCGTAGTACAACAGTCACTCAAAACTTTTACTCTCTGCTAAAAGAGAGTAACATAGGTAATATAGGTAAACTTTGTTGGGTACTAAAAGTCTTAATTCTTAATCAAACTGTATTCGCTATATTCATAAGCTTAAGCATTTTTAAGATAAAGGATGCACCACCTTGTTATTCCCTCTCGTTTTATATACTGCTATACACTCTCATGTTCTTTGTATTTCCTTACATGCATCTTATCTCTTCTTGACTCTTGCACTGAATTGGATTCAATAGACGTATTCAAGAAATGAAGCGAAGCAGCCAGAGCCTACAGAATTTTTAAATAAAACCAGACACTAATGCAACCACATCTTTCCTATTTCATGTACTGCTAGAAGTCGAAAGAAACTTCAGAGCAATAATTAGGTTTTGAGGAATAGCTGCAGTGTTTGATATTCTTATTTGTACAGGGCATCAGTGTCCTGGTTTCAGCTGGGATAGAGTTAGATTTGGCATGAGATAAATGTTGGCAACACTGATATTTTTTGTTGTTGCTAAGGAAATCAAGGACTTTTCAGCTTCCCATATTTTGCCAGTGTGCAGGTGTACAAGAAGCTGAGAGGAAGCACAGCTGGAGCGAAGGAGCTACAACTCCCAGTTTAGGATTTGATTTTAGGCTCAGGACTGAGGCCCAAATTGGACAACAGAATATTCCATATCATGCAAAGTCATGCTTAGTATATGGATGGAAGCTGGCTGGGGGGCTCGCTTATTCTCTTTGGATTTCTCTTTGGGGCTCTCGCTCTTCCAGGATAGCAGTTTTGGGATCTCTCCTCTTTGGTGTCGCTAGCCAGGGACAGGTGTGGCGCTGATCAGTGGGTGGTGAGCAATTACACTGTGCACCACTCATTGGTACATATTACTATCGTTTTGTATATTATCATATATTATTATAATTTTATTATTATTTTTATCATTATTACTTTTAGGTTTATGTTATTTCAATTATTAAATTGTTCTAATCTCAATCCACGAGTCTCCTTCCCTTTTCCCCTTTAATTCTCTTCCCAATTTCCTGGGTGTGGGGGAGGGTAAGCGAGCAGCTGTATGGTTTTTAGTGGCCAGCCGGGTTAAATCATGACAGTCAGTTAACATACAAAGATAAGTTTTATGGAAGACACTTATTTAGGAATTAGAAATTAAGAGACATTCAACTAGCTTAACTCTTAGCTATTGTTTTCCATGTAAGTTGTGAAGTCCCCTTCTCAAAATTAGTGTCAAGCAACTAACAAACTACAAAAACACTCAGTGAATTCCCTTTGTCAGCATCAGAATAAAGTATCTAGAGCTTCAGAAGACGCACCCTAAGACTGAATTTAAGTCACAGAAGTCTCCCATGAAGTGCCCATCATTAAAACATTTTTCAAGTATCAATACCTGTTCTTCCATTTTATCCTGTCTATCAAGAGCAGCTTCAACAGCATCAAAGAATTCTTCTTCATTAATCAGACTATTAGGACCCTCCTAGAGCATAAGAAACAAAACTAGTTCAAAATTTTGGAGACAGGAGAGTTTCACTTGAGTTTAATATTAGAAATACATATTTACATATTATGCATGTAAATGATGTAAGTAAACTTCTTCTATAGATCTCAAATATTTTCATCAATATTCTTAGATTACAATTCCTCTGAAAATCCTACTTGTTAAAGGAAGTTACTGCCTCTGATTATAATTTAGGGATAATTGTGTAAAGAAGAAAAAACCTGGAAACTGAGCAACAGTGTCAATATGCTTTGACATCAGATTTAGGTTTTAATTAACATCGTCTTCTCTTAAAAATGTTTACAGTATGTCAGTAAAGTACACATATTAACATATTTGTGTAGTTAGACTCCTTCCAAGTACTCCAGTGCCTTAGGGCAGATTTCAGATACGTGCTCAAAACATAACAACAGAAGACAAAATTCTGAGGATCACTATTGAAAAGTCTTGGAAAGAACAGTTTAACATTAAACAGCAGGAAGAGTTGAGTCAATTATTAAACACTCAAGTCTACTAAGTAAAATGGTAATTTCAGAAAATTAGGTTTACTGCTTTTACTGTATCGTAAACCAAGCTGGTCCAGCAAATTTCAGAAAACTACAACAGGGATATCTGGGAGAAGCAGCTGGGTTCATAACCAGGTAGACAAAGTTCAACTTCTTATCCATCTTCTTTTACAGTGTATGCCTCAGTAGCAACAGAGAATCTAAGCTCAAGTATCTTTCAAATACCTCAACATATTAGTACTATCTCTCAGGCTATGATTTATAAGTAGAAAGGTGTTTGACTAATCTACGTGAAAAGGTCAAGTTCTTAAAAATTATGCAAACTGCATTATAGGTGCATTAGCTTACATTATTCTTCAGAAGGTGGTTTAAGCATCTTAGAATTTGGCTAAATACCTCACTGAGGAGGAAGCTGCTGAAATATGCAATTTAACAGATGAAAGGAACCTGCAATCATTGAATTTGTCACCAGGAAATTTCAAGTGGCAGTGACAAGTTAAAAATCAATTCAAGTTAAACTTCAGATTCTATAACTGCCTCAGCAGTCAGGGTTTTCGTATTTGCTTTACGTATCTATACGTCTGAACCATTACAAAGGGAAAAATACAGAAACATGTATATAAGCAGTATCAAATGCAGAAGAAAAACAATCAAAGATCAGCAGAAATATCTGTAAGTAAAATGATTTAGACAAAAATATAACATGGAAGCCTGAAGGGAAAACAGACTTCCATTCTCAGAAAATTAAGGACTGAGATTCTTCATAGAGTTTCAGTTTCCAAGGTGGAAAAATTCAAGTGGCATGAACACACTTGTACAAGCCAAACACCTTGATTTACACACTCCCTTCCTCACTTTGAAAAACAAACCAATCTTTAGAAGTTGTAGCATTTAAAAAAAATTCAAAAGTAGAATTTGTACCTCATAGTCCGGCCCTCCAAAGTGGGACTTTTTCTTCAGTTCTGTCACAGCATTTTTGTATGCTTCCTCAATTCTTCTCCTTTTCTCTATCTCCTGTAAAATTACATGATCATTTGCTCCAGTGAGAATGAATTAACTGATAATAGGCAGCATGCCAATAAAAGGAATGACCAGTACAGTTTTTTCCAAATAACAATTGCAAACCTGCTGATGTTCTGAATTTATTTGCACGCATGCATTTTATGTGGCCACGCACATGCATATATAATACAAAGCTTGGGGGCTAGCTACCTTGAGGATACCTTCTTTAAGTCACGCAGAATGAACTAGATCAGCAACCAAAAACTGGTATCTAGTTTAAGCATAGCTATTCATGGTTCATTGAGGGACAGACTGACAGTTTACATGAAGCTCCTTGACACAAACGCCTGGGCAGTGATAACCAAGGGTGAAAAGTAAGACTAGTAAAAAGCTCACTTGTTGAATGTGGTGAGATACTAATGAGTCAAAGCATGTAAGTTTGTATCTGTAATTAGCTGGCATAGGATCATCCTAATCATTTTGTGAACTCCATGCAGAGACTAAGAACATCATTCGCCCATAATAGGTGTGCGACTGTACACTAGAGCCACTGATGTCTATATCATTGTATATTTTGAATAAAAAAGTAGTAATGCTGGAATCAGATTAAGTCTAGTATTTCCTCTGCAAATTCTACACACTGCCAGATATTCTCAGTGAAGAAGCCATAAACATTTCTAAAATTCTTGCAGAATTCAGCTTTAATACGCAAGATGTTTCTCTGTCCTCTTTCAGAATCACCTCAGGTGGAAGAAAGTCAAGTCTTATAGGTGACAACTGCACACAATACTACTTCTTGCAGATAAGCGTGTAATTATTCAGCAATTCAATCTGAACTTCAAAGACTCCGTGGAAAACCCTTCAGCAGTACTGAAAGGCTGAGTTTATCAACTGGGAATTTGGTGGTAACATTCACTCTGGAAAACGTTATCCAGTTTCTAAAGAAGAGTTTGAAAAGTAAAGCAACAGTTTTGCTGTAAAACAAAGTAGTATAGCTTTCCATAGGAAAATTCTTAGTAAATAAAGCAGAACTTAGAAAAAGACAGTATTGTCTTTATCAGTAAACACAGGCTTTTCCCTTCTGAAAGTATCACAAAGAGACAGTAAGTGGTAACACTCAGGTTTCACGAAATTTGCCACGTTTATCCTTTTTGAAAGTAAATGAAGAGCCTTGGAGATGCATGAAGCATGACGTGAGTGTAAGTCATTGAGAGAAAGCATAAAAAGTTTTACCAGAACACTTCGAAAGAAAAAAACACCCAACAAAAACCAAAACACAACTCGTCCTCCTGCTTGCCTCAAATTCCCACACTTTCTGTACTTCAACCTGCGAATTAGTGACAATTCACATGTCAAAAGACAACTCTCCAAATCTGCCAGCTAGGCAGCAATATTAAGTAAGGCAGAAATTGGGAAACTGTTTGATTGCACAGCAGAAAAATTACTGGTGTATTAAAACTGTAAAATTTAATCGGGCATTTAAACTATAATTGTCAAAGGTGAACAAAATAAGCTACCTAAACGTGTTAATCTTAAGTTAAAATTTAGCATTCAGAAGATAAGTTTCCTCGTTAATAACAGTAAGACCAAAGGAAACATGAATAGAAACACGTTGCTGTAGTCAATACAACAAGAAAAGCATCATCACAAGGATTTTGTTGCAAATAAAACAAGGAACCAAATACTACAGATAAAATAGATAAACAAGGAAAGGATTTAAAGAAAAAAGTCTATTTTAAAATACATTCAAGAGGCTCATACAGAAAAATGTTCTGCACTGGAAAAATAAGCTCAAGATCTTAACAGCTATAAGTAAAAGGCTGAAAGCAAAGCTGTAACTACAATTATCTTTAGGTAACATACATGCTTTTGTATTAATTTTATTCTGTTGGTAACAGAAAGAAAACTAAATATAGAATTCTAAAATTACAACTAAGTGCATTATTTTAGCAGTCTTCTCAAAAAAAGATGTTTTTATAATCTTGTTTTCAAAGATTTAGAAAAAGTTTCCAACCTTCAGAATGTAACTTAAACTCCTTTCTTGTATTTAAAAAAAAAAAGGGGGGGAGGTTATAGAGCAACACTTCATAACACTGTACTCATCTCTAGGCAAGATATAGTCGCCTCCAGGCTCAACAAATTCTACTGAACTTGAGCTTTTTTAACATGATAAATTTTTTAGGACAGTTATAATTCTGAAATATATTTGCTTCAAGTTCTGCAGACTTACATCTATCTTGCATCTTTAGGCTAAGCTAACCCTCTACAAGATGGAGGCTGTATAATTTTGGGAGGTATTGGGACTCTTACTAATCACCTTTGTGTGTTGCAGTTCTGAAGCTAGTGGAGTGAGGAGGCTGGAGAGTGAGCTGGATTACAGCAGCACTTGAACTACTTGTAGAACACTCACTGATTTTAGCTGCTGACACAGATCTCATTCTTCCCATGACAACCTACACAGCGCAGAGCCAGCAGTGTTAATCTGCTGACACGCAAAGGACAAACTCGATGCTGTCCCTTTTCAACCCTGCTAGATGGTCTTTTACAGGCACTGGACAGATTTCTAAGAGCTCTAAAACTCTCCCCCAGCTACAACATCAACACAAACAGCTGCCTAATTTCATGTAATTTTCCCCTCTAATCTCTCTTGGAGAAGATATTCTGAACTTTATCATCTCACAGTGTTCACTTCCGAGCAGTTTACACATCTACGCAAGAAAACCAAAAGTACAAAGATCAACACCATTCTCCTCCCACATCTATTTATCAGATGACAGAGCAATGTTTTTTGCTTAGGCCCATAGTTGTAGAAGATACTATTATAAAGCCATGTTTAACCAATAAAACAAGATAAAAGAAAACAAAAAGCAACTCTACAATTGAAGTGGAACAGTGTTAGAACAGGTCTGAATACAGTCAACTGCTGTCTTTAAGGTGTAGGTGTCAAGGTGTTGGTCATGGGGAACTGCAGAGGTGGAATCTATGGGAGGAGGCCAGGGGCTGCCCCCTATCACAGGTCATTCTAGCCAGCTCTGAAAGAGACCCACTGCAGGACACAGCTGAGCCCATCCACCATGTGCATGGCATTTCTCTGAAAATGTATTTATGAGCAAAAAAGCACCTCAGAGAGAGGGAGTGGAGATAACAAGTGAGAAACAACAGAAGAGATGCCAAGGCCAGAGGAGGAGCAGCTCCAGGGCAGAGAACATGTCCAAGCCACAGCCTATGCCAGAGCAGAGGGACATTTCCTGAAGTAATTGTGTCTTGTGGAGGACCCACACTGCAGCACATTTTTCCCAGAGGAGAGGACATGTGTTGGAGCAGAAAGTGTGAGGAGGAAGGAGTGGCAGAGATGAAGTGTTTTGGACTGACTGCAACTCCCCCATTCCTCACCCTGCACTGCTTGGGGACAGCAAGCAGCAGATAGAGGGGCCTGCAGTGAAGAAGTGAAGTTGAGCTTGGAAAATGAGGGGAAAAAAGCTGTTCTGGTGTTTGTCTTTTTGTTTCCCCATTAACTGGACCTATTTTAAATCAGTAACAAACTGATTTTCCCCGAGTCAAGAACATTCTGGCAAGACAAGAACTGGTAAGCAATCTCCATTTCTCTTGACCCATGAGATTTCTCACCCTGTTTTTTCCTTTAATCATGCTGGATGGGTGGTGAGCAGATACGTGGGCATTTGGCTGTTGGCCAAGGCTAGCACACCACAATTCTGTATTATAGAATTCAATAAAAATTTCCTCTTCCAAAAGGCTAGCAATTAGAGAAATATAAATAAAAATGAATTATTTTATAATAGAATTAAAGTACTTTACCATGAGTGTGCTGTACACTCTGTAAAATTTCATTGACAAATGTGACTTTCAACAAGTTGCAAGTCTACCAAAGCAAAGTAACTTAAAATCTCCAAGGTTTTAGAAGCTTTTGCTATTTTAATTTCTGGGAAAACAAGTTCAAATAAGCTTATGACACCCTTTAAAATGTATTTACTCATGCCACATGAGGTATCAGTCACATAAGATCGTGAAATTTAGGTTTGATGTTGTTAACCACTTGCAGCTAAAAACAAGTGCTTTAAAGTTAGTTGCAGAAGAAGAAAAAAGTGACAAATACCTAATTTAAATAAATTAAAATTCTAAATTAATGTAGGATTCTGTGTTAATGTATACTATCCCAGGGACAAGAAAAGTTAACTTCAGCCATGCTCTAAACAAAGTCTGATCAACAAGAGTGAATTCTGCTCAGTCCAGAGAAGAGAAGGCTTTTTTGTGAGGGGACCTAAGAGCAGCCTTCCAATATCTCTAAGAAAGTCATAAAGAAACTGAGCCAGACTCATCACAGCATTCTACAGTAAAAGGATGAAAAACAAAAAGACAGATACTGGAATAAGAGTCACTCCTACTGGACATAAGGAAAAACTTTTTCACTATAACAACAGTTGACCAGCAGAACAGGCTGTCCAGAAAAGCTGCGCAGCTTCCGGCCTTGGGAGGCTTGAAATTGTACTTGATAAAATCCTGAGCAACCTGATCTGATCTCAAACTGCCCTTCCTTTAAGCAGTAGGTTGGAGAGAGAGAAACCTCTTGAAGTCTCTAGTTCAACCTGAATTACCCTTTGAGCCTACGAACAAGCTTCAAGTCTTGGATCTACTCTAATTCCTCCAACTATTTAGATGAAGTAGTAAATTAAGTGTTGACAGAAGTCGCAATACAGTCAGACAGGGCCAGGCCTTTGATATGTGAACAAAGACGACGTAGAAGACAGGGCCAAGGATTCAAACTTGGTTGTATTTTGTCTGAATGCATTCATTCCTTGAATCATATACCATTCAAGCAAAATGGAGTAAGTTTTGAAGTGTGATATATGCCACATGGAAACACATTAAATGAAAAAGAGACAACAACAGCTACAGGACTGGACAGGACACCAGTCAGTGATGGCAGGATTCTAGAAATTAAAGCCTGAAGTGCAACCTAGTCATGGCCTCCAGCACATCCCACGAGAGAAGACACTGCTTTTTTCAAGTTGCTATAGTGGCTGAGTAGACTTAGCATGAACTATCACTGTCATTAGAGTAACAGATATTCTAATACCACACACCTAAAAAATTAGTATAAAACATGACTTAATCTCTTCAATCTCCTAAAAGAAAGTGAAATTATTGTATCTTAAAGAGACATTTAAAGTCAGAATTGGTTGTTCTCAGTATCTTCACCATCTCTTAGCTCAAGATTCAGAGATTTGCACGTCATTTTGCAAGCATGTATAATTAGAAGGCTGCAAGCAATACACTTATCATTATGGAATACTGTCAGGTTCTCTACTGATATAAAAAATACAGGACTACTATCTGAACAAGGGCTGGGAAAAGAAAGACTATGTTGAACAATGTTACTGTATCACCAGTTAGGAAGAGGTTTTAACATTTTATAGGACTAATAACGAAAGCACCTAAAATTAATAAATGCCGTACATAAAAATAAAAGAAATACCTGGAATAAAAAAGTTAACAATAGCTCATTTGAAATTTCTATTTCAAGCTACAGAAACTTTTTTTTTTCCAACAGAAGTAAAATGAAAACGATCTTACCTTATCTAGCCTTTTCTGCCAGCTTTCTTCACGTTTTACCATGAGTTCAATACAATGAGAGAGTGTAGCAAGGATTCCAGCAGTAGTTGCCTTGAAAGTTATAGCTTCTCCTTTAAAGTCTATACCATTGATTCCTTTGGGTGTCACATGTGGAAACACTAAAAATAAACATGAATCATTCAGGATAGTTGCTTTAACTCAAACAAGCATTTTACATGTATGCTTTATATTACAACTGTTTGAAGAAAATAGGCTGGCTAGAAAGTTAATTTAAAAATAAAACCCAAAAGTGCTGCTAATTTTCAGCTATCCATAGGATAAGGAAAGAGACTCAAAAGGAGGAACACATCCCTTCAGCTTCGTCTTGCTACACTGTATTTCAAGCCTGCTTGTAATGCTGTATTACTCTGCACTCTGCAAATCATGTGGGTGGAGGGAGTGGTAATACTTTGTAACAATAGCAGTTTGACAGCTTGAAGTGGGGCCTAATTAACACGGAGCAAACTTAAAACACATCTCATACAGCCCTACAAAAGCAAAAATTTCAAAATGCAATCAGACCAAAATGTAACATTCAAGGTTGCTTTAAGCAGGTAATTACAGACTTAAAAACCTCGAAGTAACAAAGTATGATATAAGATTAAAGTATCGAATGTGTTGAATTATCCGAGTACTGTGGGTTTTGCAGTTCCAACAACGACTTCATGCTGTCAACCAAGCCATCTGTTGCTAAGGCTATTTAAACAAGCCATTTAAAATGTGACAAAAAACCTACCTATTATGCATCAAACTTGCACGTAGGCTGACATAGTAACATATCAAACACTATGCATTAATGTCATAAAATATTAGAAAGCAGAAGTCACACTCATGTTGAACCTGTCCGAGCCCTGGACGTTAAAGTAACTCCCACTATGCCATGGGGCAAGGTCGTGACTTATCAGCAAGCCAGACACCACTTTTTACCCCACTAGTCTGTCATTTTGTCAGCTTGCCACTGCTACAGTTTAAAAAGCACAAATAAATATTTGTGTAAATGTATCTAATCTGTCTGCAAAGGCAAAGCAGTGCTTTCAAGTAGTCCTTGCAGGAAAGAGAAATGCAATTCCTGTTCTTTAATGGTAGAGCACAGTGTCTACACTTTGGGAGCACAAACCAATGGTCACATGGTCTTAAGCAACGTTTTACGTCTCTAGAGGTTTTATACGCCCTCCTTTCAGAAGGAATCAAACTATTTTTCAAACAGATCATTACAGACTACGCACTGCAAATACTTCAATAAGCATACATACTGCAGTTGAATACAGCTTATTTTTTGTGTCATGTTAATCAAGAATAGTCCCTAAAGGTAAAGAGGATGGGGGCTGGAGAGAAAAGGAAAGTAAGAGAAAAAAAAAAACAAACCCACTTCAGAAACAATAATGAGTAGAGCAGCTCGTCCACCCCCTAACAGCTGCAGAAGGAACACAGAGGAGGCTGAGACTGAAAGTGGTATAAGCTGACAAGGAGGCGACGCAGTGGATTCACTGAGAATAATCAAAGTCGCACAACAAGAGCTTCACCCATAACACTTCACAACTGAAAAATACGGTTTATATTAATAATTTGTCCTGTTGGTGTAGGCTGTGTTCATGTGCTGGCTTACTAGCACAGCTATAATACGTATAGATGTGATTTTTCTCTCTGAAATCATGCAATATGCTAGACATGCTGAAGAAACTACCTCTGGCTGCAACACTATAAAATCGTATCAGAAATCTCTACGGTAGATTGTAAGGTAGATGGAGCAATATAGCCTCATTTCCTGGAAAAAAGCCAGCTTTTGTTCCTGGATATCTTTAGGTCTCAGCTGAATACTTCCACACCGTTTCAGTCATCACACATTTTGATAGTCCTTTAATTGCTTATTTCAAAGCAGCAATGATACATGCAGAGCATGCAGTTTTAAGGTCGGTGTCCACAGTTCCCTTCAGAAGGCCACTGTAATTCTGGGCAAAAATAAACTTGTTGCAAAAAGATGCAAAACCTGTTTGTTTGAAGAGATGGTCAGTCTCAAGAGACTCCTTACAATCGATGGGAGAATTTTGATTCATTCCTAATCACAACAGGCATTTGTCTTTCTGGAACACGTCAGAAGACGACCTCAAGCCTTGTCTCAGTAACAGCTGAGTTTCAGTACATTAGAAGTATTTGTCAGTAGAGTTTCTATTTGGAGAGCCTGAACATCTTTCCTATTCCGTTTTTACACTTTTTTTTCATGTTGGCTACAGATTGAGCGTTTCAAAACGAAATCTGGCATCAGAAGATCTATGTGGTTCAAGGTAAAGGCTAACAGGAAAATATTCTTACCATTGCAACTGCTTTTCCAGCTCAGTGATCAAACCACATGCAGCCAACGGAAAAAAGGAGCAGGACAATTTTCCTCCTACTTTAATTTCAACATCTTCCAAGTGGTTCCTTTTTAATTATCCTGTCTTTTAAGCATTTTTTTTATTTCTGATTTGTTTTCTCTTGCTTTTCATATAAAGAATTCTTCATGCCATGCTTTAGCCTTCAATAGCTCTTTAGTTCTTCTCTCCTACACTTTTTTTTCCCCCTTTTTAAAGATGGGGGCTATGTTTCCCCTTTCCCAGTCAGTGGGAGCTTCACCAGACTGCCACGACTTCTCAAATATGATGGATAGTGGCTTAGCAACTTCATCCGCCAGGTCCCTTGGGGCCCATGGATGCACCTCCTCAAGTCCCATGAACTTGTCCACCTTCAGGTTCTTTTGATGGTCTCAAAACTGATCTTCTACAGTGGGTGGTTCTTCATTGTCCCAGTCCCTGCCTTTTCTTCTGTGACTTGGGCCATGCAGCTGGAGCTCTTGCCAGTGAAGACTGAGGCAAAGAAGTCATTGAGAACCTCAGCCTTCTCCATATCCCAGGTAGCCAGGTCCCCCGTTTCCTTCCGGAAAGGGCCTACATTTTCCCTAGATCTCTTTTATCACTGACATATCTGTAGAAGTTTTTCTTGTTGCCCTTGATGTTCCTGGCCAGATTTAACTCTATCAGGGCTTTAGCTTTCCTAACTTGATCCCTAGTTACTCAGACAATTCCTCTATATTCTTCCCAGGCTACCTGTCCTTGCTTCCATCCTCTGTAAGCTTCCTTTTTGTGTCCGAGTTGGTCCAGGAGATACTTCTGTGTCTGTTAGGATAGATCAGTTTTCCCTTCTTGTTCCTAAGATTGTTTGTAACATTTTCTCAGATGTCCTAAACTTATGTTTGATCAAATCTGTTTTTCAGTGAAACAGAAAATTACTTTAAAACCAGTAAGTAGAAAGAAGTTCCTTTTTCTTTACCATTTTATGCCACCTTAGCATCTTATGTCCCTAAACTAATTCTAAGTGAAAAAGAAATGATTAGGTGCATGACCCATTTCTTGATACCTATGGTTGTTGATCTTCTGTGGATAGCAGTAGGATCAATATAATTAGTTTTCCTCTAAGAACAATGCCATTATTTCAGCAATATATTGGTGAATATTCTTCCTCTATTCAAAGCACAAAAATCCAGCATAAATCCCATTGTTTCACATCAAATTTCTCTCCTTTAGCCTCTGTACCATTTACATCTTTATAGTTGCAGTACAAAACCACTTTTTGTCTTCAAAGAGGTTCCTTAAGTAGGTTTCACCTGTTCTTCCTGTTTTTACATAATTTAAATTCAAACATGCTCATTTTCCTGAGCAGATGGATGGGAACTCTTCCTGATCAAGATTCTTCATTCTTATATTCTAAGATCTCAATGGGTAAATATGATTCAGCCAGACTCTCCCTTGCCATTTTATACAAATGATCATTGTTTCAGTTATTGGATTTTTTTTAATTGGAATGTGGCCAATAAATTTAAATATATTCTTAGTAATCTTCCTAGCTCTTCACTTAAAGATACTAGAGAATACAGAAAAGAAAAACTCTCTCTGTCTGAAATGTCTTCTTCAGAGTAGTACACAAATCTCTATAGTCATGTTAAATTTCTCCTCCCACCCAGGGAAGGTACAGAAGGGAACAAATTTCAAAAGACAATGTGAACATGGTCCATTTAGTCAGTCTTAAATCTAGTGATTTGAGCATTAGATTGGTGCGCTAGTGGCTGGAACAGTAGGCTCAAACACTCCCTGTCATAGCAGGCCACGTAAGACGCTGAACCCAGGCTTCTCACTTCCTGGAGCACTAACTGCAGAACAGCCCCAGAAGAAACAGGCAACCACTTCTCAGGTACAGTGAGAAAGATTGTTCCAGTCCTTCCAGGACTGGATAGAGACTTCAAAAAGGAAACCTGAAATTGGACGAATCAAAGAATCTTAACAGCTTCTCTGAGGATAAGCTTTCGAAAAGGGTTAAGTTGAAGATAAATCTTTCATTATTAGTTAGCCTGAGTAGTTTTCTGCATGGCTGTCTCAACCTGAGACATCTACTTCCCCCACTGCATCACTTACGACTTATGATTCCACTTTAAGGCAGAGACTCTAATTTTTTCATTTCTAATCAAGCTTTGCAGCACTCAGCTACTAAATATTTAATGGAATTTGCCCTCAGAAATCAAACTGAGGCATAGAAAACTAACATCGAAATAAAGCTTTTCACAGAAAAAAAAAATCAATGGAAAGTAAGTTTAATGGAATCAGCACTCATAACAATTGGAAGCTCTGCAAAAAGCAAGGAGTTGAAGACATTATTTTCTGTAGTGAGCTATATTAAGTGAGTTTATATACAGGTACTCATAATAGAAAGCACTTTCTTAGCATGTAAGTTCCCAAAAGACTTAATACGGAACTTTTTAAAAGAGGAATACAGATATCACTTCAAATTCCTGTTAAACAGATGATTAAAAAAAACCCAAAGCCACTTACTTTGGATTTAAATATTCTAAGATGACCAGATGTACTAAAAATATAGGCTTTCCTAATGACATTCCCCATATCGTATGTGTGCGTATATATACATATAGCAGATACACCAGAAGTATGTAGATGTGAAGAAATGTTCTACAGGTAAATTAAGCTTAATTTTTGTAGGATCATGTAGGAGTTTAAGTTTGACAAAGACTTCTCTTTCTAAATGAATCATGCAGTAAAAATAAATTCTCACTTAACATCTTTTAAAGAAGGCTTTTTAAGTTTTCTGAAATTTGTTCTGACTTACTAGTCTTCAAAAAAATGTACACTTTTATATATAAAATAAGAGTTTGTGGAACTGTGCACTTGCTTACAGATGAGTGTTGCAGGCATGCTTATGTTTGGTGATAAAAGGCACGAAAGATTTATCCAAAACTTCACAGTTATATGCTACTTAATCTCTGAAATCAGCATAACAATTAATCATCAGTAGAGCAAGCACTTTATATAGCTGAAATAATCTACTCATATCATGAACTCTAGAAGTATCCTGAAAGCTCTTTCCATTTCCTTTCCCCTTTCCTTGTAACGGTTTTGGCTATATCGTAGAAAGAACACTTACATACAGCAAGGAAAGATGTAATACATGGAGACCATAGCTAATTACAAAGAAAAGAGAAGACACAGAAAAAGCTTATTGTGCCTGTGTATTTTCCAGGTTCTTGATGAAAGTGCTTACATTTTTAAAAACATTTTAGGTGAACACTTTGGGAGATTCCACCAGATTTGAAACTAGAGGTAGCACAACTTCAAAGATTTGTGAATCAAAGTCTAAGGAATCTCTTAGGACTAACTGAATCGTCAACCTCTAGAGAACAAAACACAACTATTTCAGTCAGGAAAGAAAAGTAAGTCTAAGAAGAATGCAAATATATTTTAAGCGCATACACAACTTCTGCCAGGCCTATAGTACCAGAATTCTAGAACAGTAAGACTTGCACAACTTCTTCACATTTACAGTGAGTATAATAACTAGATTATTTAACACAAGAATAAAAATGAGAATTCTGTTTGTCATAACAAGGGAAAATATAGTAAAAAAGTGTTAAAACTATGATGGCTGAGAATCAGTAACAGCTTTGACTTAATGATTATGTAGTCTCCAACTTCCATAGAACTTGGAAAAACAATACTGGGACATACCTAACTGGAAAAGTATTATGCTCCACCACATTCCTAAAGCAGGTAACACTTGCAAGAAAAATTGCAATTACCTGCTACAAATCTCAGTTCCCAGTATCTGAATCACGGAGATGTTTCAACAGAATTTTGTAGTGAAAATGGCTTTGGACACAGCATAGGAAATTCCAGCTTGACAGGCTTGCATTAATGTTTATGTGAATTAATAATAACTCAGAGAATCATGAAAAGCAACTACTGAATGATGACATGAATATGAACTTCCTGTTATATACATTTAAATAATCACTGTTGTCATTTTCTGCTTCGAAAAAAGCATAAATACCTGTCTTGTATCAGGTTTGTCGTCACACCATTCATATGAATTTTCAGTGAAAAAGTTGGGACACTTACATTTTTCCTTACTGCTGTTACTGTTATGTAAAAAATCCCCATCAGAACGCATTGTAGGAAAATCATCTTCATCACCTTCTACCACTAAATTTGAGAGAGAGATAGAGAGTGTTATGGAAGTGAGAAAGCTTATCCAATTCTTCAGCATGTAAGAAAGAATTAAGAACATCTTCACGGCTAAGCAGCATTTAAGATTTTTTCCTATAATAGTCATGAACCACCCCCTTTTTTGTCTAGAGACCACTATCAACATTACTGTCAGAAACCATTAGGAGACTAGCATTTGCTCAGTGTTGAAGTTCAGCATTCAATTCTATGGTAAAAACAACATTATTTTGGTGTTACAACTGGATAAGCAGGGAGCCACAATACAGCAACTATCTAGTTTTCTACACTAGAAAGTTTGCAAAAAAGTAGAATTGTACTCATCTACCGTTTCCTTACCACAAAAAGTTTCAGGCTGCCAGAACAAACATGGGGATGAATATAAATGCCTCAGGAGAGGACATGGATATGACAAGCAGCTATGCTCTGAGAAGAGTAATTCAGATATATGTTGACATCCACACCTGAGTCTACTCGGGCCTCAAGTGTGCACTCAGTGCTCTAGTTCCAGCCAATACATCTCAGGAGCATTCATTACAGCAGCACCTTTGCCTTTTTAAAATAATGTATTGTTTCTATCAAAACTAATATTGTTTGTTTCAAAATAAAAGGTAAGAGACACAGCAATAAACTACCTTGGATTTATCTTAAGAGGGTAAACAATTACTGTCTTATAACATCAAATGCTTAAAAAAGCATTTCTTTTGTACAGTTGATAGCCACAGTTTAATATTAAGTTAAGCAGATTTTTATGGGAATCCAACTTCTGAAGTGAACATAGTTAACTCTTGATGCAACTGTGATTGATCCCTATACTAAAGAGCAAATTTAAGATACGTATTTTATTTATATGGCATCAAATGCTATAGTAACCATTTCACAGGTTATTGCTGTGTAAAAAGATAAATTATCACAGAATCATAGAATGGTTAGGGTTGGAAGGGACCTCAAAGATCATCTAGTTCCAACCACCCTGCCATGGGCAGGGAAATCCTCCACTACACCAGGTTGCCCAAAGCCTCATCCAACCCGGCCTTGAACACTTCCAGGGATGGGGCATCCACAACTTCTCTGGGCAACCTGTTCCAGTACCTCACCACCCTCAACGTAAGAATTTCTTTCTTATATCTAACCTAAATCTGTCCTCTTTCAGTTTAAATCCGTTGCCCCTTGTCCTATCACTACACACCCTTGTAAAAAGTCCCTCTCCAGCTTTCCTGTAGGCCTCCTTTAGGTACTGGAAAGCATTTGGAAATTCTATGGAGATCAGAGTTTTCAGTTACAGTTTTACCTTTATCCCTCTGGAGTTCATCTTTGGAAACTGCATCTGCACAGGCATCAAAGTATTTCTGTAGAGTATCAACTTGTCTACACAAGATGTCTCTAAAGGTTTCCATTTCTGCAAGTTTCTCACGTAAGCTATGGCCCTTCTGAAAATACAACAGAAAAAGTATGAAATGCTTCTACATAATCAGTAATAGTTCAATGCATAAATAAAAAAAATCGGATTTCCACAGCTATGAAGAAGAAATTCAAGTACACTAAGGACATTTTAGATATCAGCAGCTATGAAATACTGTTGATGTCAAAAGAATGTAAGAAACTATATACAAGTGTTCCTCAGTCATTTTGTCCACTGGTCTCTATCTTTCCTCTTGACCGCATCTGCTACTTCAGAACATTCAACAAAAGCTTATTAAAAATGCAATCTTGCATGCTCTCAACTTTGCGCTTATTTGCCTGAAAACAGTCAGCTCTAGTTTAACATCTTTGTTCCAATCTTTACTCCCCTTTCTGGTGTTGCGCTCCTCTTCTGCTCTCCCAGAAGTACAGCTCACTCAAGTTCATAAGTTAAGTATTTATACACATGAGACAAGGAAAGACATCATTTGTCAATCAGCATTAATCAAATTTATTAAGTCACAGGATCAGCATTCTTTTTGATTTAGAGGCCCTGACATTCTGAGGAGTAAACTAGGAAAGGTTAATAAATGCTCTCACAGGTTTCATTTTTTTGCCATTGGAAGACAACGCCACAGTTTAAAAGGGCAGAAGCACAAGAGCGCTTCCGGTATGATCTGTTCATCATTGTATGATAAAGTACTAACACAGTAAACCAAATATTTTGTATTTTTTCCTATAATTGCATGAGTCTTCACATAAGTTCCTCCTTTTCCAGCTGCGTGTTTACACACCAATACTAAGAAAACTTTATTCACTAACCTTGAACGAAGAGGTGGATGTTGCAGAGTATCCACTTGCTCCAGAAACAAGAGACACCATGGAGCCATGCCGTCGTAAACTTGACTCTGATCCATAGCCAGATTCAGTCTAAAAAGTAAACCATACACAAAACGAGAGTGCTGAGGCTTTTAATAAAAATATTATTCAAGAAAGCAAGATTAACATAATTTCCTCTGAAACCAATCTGTTTGTTTCTTGTCAGGAAGCATCAGGGGCTTAACTCAAATTGTGCTTGCATATTTAAGATGTTGATGCAGCATCTGTAAAGTTACTAGGAATCTCCTTTTTGTTATCATAATAATCTGTACAAAATTAGTTATCAACAACCTATTATGTGCCCCTAAAAGACCAAGGCAACATACATTTAAGGGTTCAAAAAAGGGACAATGTTCCATTACTTTGGTTTAAGTAATCCCTACTCAGCATTCAAAAGCCTAACATACTCTACAATTAACCAAGGGATTAATATGGTTCAGTTTGAAGACAATCAGCTTCAGCCAATTCTTCCAATCATTTAAATAATGCCATTTTATTTTTAAAAGGAACAAAATAGAGATCGTAGAAACAAACGATTACTGCTATAAAGTTTTTTTGGCTTGTTCCAGGCTTCTTTAGCCAAATTATTCGTAAAAAAATCATTTCAGTCTAGTAGAAAGAACAAAAGTCTACCTAGAACAAGGTGAGATACTATACGCAAGAGGGAGAAGACAATAATAGTGACTAATTAAATAATGAAAAAAACAATCTTGATTAAAATAATATTAAAAATATCTAAAAATATCAAGTTTCACAAATTTCCTCACAAATCAAACCAAAGCAGATACTGAGGAACTAGAAGAAAAATATTCCCTAAAAGTTAATGTAAATGGCCTGTGTATGGCAAATAAGAAAAATCCTGAATGTAAGAAATAAACAGACGGTTCAGAGTAATACTTGAAATACTGTTAATAGATGAGTTTGATGAAGTAGACAGTGACAATATTGTGAAGGACTTTTGACAAAAATAAGAAATTCTGCAGTAGCATTGAAATTCACATGACACAGGGAGAAGAGAAGACAAAATGATTAACAGAACAAACAAGAAGCAATGATGAAATTCTAGCTGTTGTGCACAGGCTTTGGGAAGGCAGGAGAGTGCTGATAAATTAAGATGCAAATGGACTTGAAACAGTATTAAAAGCAAGGAGAAAGTACAAAAAGTTGTTTTAAGCATTGGTTAAAACACAGGATTTGGACAACACTTCAATGTGTGGGACAAAGTATAAGGAACATTGTAGAGAAACAGAATGTTAGAGAAATTAAAGTATGACTGAAAAGAAAAATGTGAGTCCCAGGGTTTTCAACATAATTCCTGAATGAACATGACTGAGATTATCCTGCAAAACCAAGCAGGAAGGAGTCAAGAGTCAATTTCTATCTGGCCCTTTTGAAGAATGAGGTAGAAGACAAGAAAGTGTCGAGGAAATAGAAGAGAAAGAGGATGAGTATCAAAAGTAGAAGCAGAGCTGAAAAATGAATAGGAGCAAGAAATGTAAGTGTAGCTAGAAAAAGGTATTCCAGAAGTCTTGGTGGAAGAAGGCTGTTACCATCAACTTAAAATGAAAAAAAAAAGGGCACTTGTAAATTCAGAATATTTAATAAGGAACATCTTAACTTCATTGCTTCATTTAGCAAAAAATTAGAAATTCTGCAACTTGTTTGAACAGAAATAGATTATGTTTAATGACAGCTTCGAGTGACATGACAGAAGACATAGTTTCCTTATTATTTCACTCTCTGAGGATGTATTAATCATTTAGTAATTTCTGCTATATATCACACATTTAAAGTTATTTTATACTGAGCAGGAACAAATAGCTACATAACTGTAGTAACAAAAGCGCTAAAAGCTCTATTTTTTAAGAATTAGTCCTACTATGTTTTAAACCTTGGCTTTAAAACATCTGTTGGAATAGGTTTTTTGTTAAAAACATTCACATTGGATACATGGGACTTTTTTTAGAATATCAGTTCAAGTGTTAAGCAGTGCGTCGCTTTGGTAATGTATTTGGGATATTGCGCCACATTTTGAATTGCTATGCAATTCAGTGCACAGATTACACCTTAACTCAGCAGGCTGTAATTTTAAAGTATAACAGAAATAAAATAATGAAGCTTTGATCAGGTTTTTTGCAAATACTCAAGTAAGGGCTTTTGGCTCTTTTTATGGACTTTAAGTCGCCCAAAGGCTTGACAAGTGAAAACAAAGTAGGTAAAAGAATAAAAAGATTTTTAAAAGGACAAGTAAGAAGAGTTTGGTGCATATAATGATTTTGTTTCAGAAAAAAGAAACCTCAAAAGAGCATTTTATAAGAGTCACATAACGCTTTGAAGCATGAAACACTTCTTTAAAGATTTCCTCTAAGTACAAATCTAAAAAACTTCACTTTTTTACTGATAAAATCAGTTTATTTAATGCTACAAACCTAAGATGACTTTGCATCTGCTTTTATTACAGTCAGTTTGAAAGTGGGGACTCATTCTATTCTATAAGTTGTACACACTAGAAAGAAGGTAAACTCCATTTCAATAGGATATGACTTACTGAACAGATCAATTTTAAAACGTAGCCAAAATATCCATTGCATTGAGATCAGAGCACTTTAAGAACAGCAAATGTCTTCTGATTGCTTTCTTCTTTAAGCGAGGACCATAAGTTTTGCACCTATGCAAAAATCTGGATTTAAGCTTAGGAAGTGAAATTTCTGAATTTCTCCATTTGAAGATTTAATCAAAATCATATCTTAATAGTGCTACTCTAGAACTTACAAGAATAGAGGTAATCATATAAGTAGAAAATCTGGTGACTTATATCCTACATTTGAATAAATCCTTTTCTTCCAGTATTACTCATACAATCAATGCTCAGTTACCTTAGTTCACAAAAGAAAAGCTTAGGGTAAAAGAAAAAAAACCAAACTTCTTTCCACATCAGTATGTAAGATTGATTTTTTAAGGTATCTTTTCAGCAGTGTATTTATTTCACAGTCATTTATGCTTGTGATTAATAATGCCACTGAAAAGTTTATCCACATTTCAGAACTCTATAAAAGACAGCATATACAGCTATCAGCTGTATACGTCTATCAGCTTCCAAACCCTACCAATAAAAAGGTGCTACATAAAAAGCATTTAGGCAGTTTCAACTATTTGCAACCAAGCAGCAAATTCAGCAGGCAGAATGGCAGACTGAACAGCACACAACATGAATCCAAAGCATATGCATTTACAGATCACGTTCACAGAACTGTCTCAGACAATAATGTTTTAATAGCCAAGGGGAAAAAATGAAAATTACATCAAGAATACCTATTTGTCAGAAGAAACAGAAAACAAGCTTTCCTTTGTAACTGATGCAGAGACAAGCCATCCAGCTCACAGCAGACACATGCGAGCAGCTTACTTAACACAAACAATGAAACCATGCACCATGCAAAGCCCCACCATTCTGCCACCGCAACATCTAAACGAGAGCAGGTCTCTGCCGCATTTATGTCTCGCAAAGCAGATCATCATTAACTATTCACTGCAGAAATACTCAGTTACATTGAGAAGAGGAATGTTGACATAAGCTTCTTCTGTTTACAAAATCCTTAATTTCCCCAGATAAAAACTGGAAAAGCAGGTAGAGTTCCTATAATAGAAGTTAACAGTTTCTGCTTGAAAACAAAATAACTTGCAGAAGTTCTATCAATTCATACCATCACACACTAATGCCAAATTACCATGCTCAGTGTATAGATGCAGTTCTTTGAAATTCCATGCATACATCGTAGCTTCAAAGTTACACTGAAACTGGCATTTGCCAGCACATTGCAACACCTTCAGCTTTCTAAGGCAGCGCACAAAATCCATTAATCCTTTCGTTAGGATAGATGAGAGGCAAAGAGCCACATGATCCAAAGCTTCATGCGATTCTTTACCGGAGCAGGTGCTGGTATCAGCAACAGGAGCAGTACATCAGAAAAGCTGCTTTCAGAAAAATAGCTAAGTATTCACAGAATCACACTGCAGACCTCCATTATGGCTCACACTAACTGCCAGCTAAGGATTTCCTAAAGTGGGTCAATAATACTCTTGAGTAAAGCACAGACACTCAGGAAAGCTCCTCCACTTAAAAAAAAATAAAATAAAAAATCAAATAAAGGAAATTATTCTCCCGTGTCTTCAAGGAATTATTCTGATCATGTTTCAGTTTAGTGCCTGTCAAGCACTTCAAGGTATGTTTGTCCACCAAGGCAGGTATTTTCAGTTAGCGTCATAAATTATTTATTATTTTACATAACACAAGCAGCAGGCAGCTCCTCCCTCTAAGGCATACAGCTCGCCCTAGGAGGTGAAGAAACAGACATTAGGATACAGAGACTCTAATCATGTTCTCTGCAGTATTTGTGAAAAATCCTACTAAAACATCCAAAAGATCAAGCCACAATACCTTATGAAAAACAAGAGTGTAGGAAAAAAAAAAGTAAGAATGCAAAATGAAAGAGCTGGATGATACTACAAAAGACTTGAGACTAAGCAGACAAGTTCTGTAGAACATTTATGTTCCAAGGGCAATTTTTAGATTTGCTGCAAATGCTTCAACATATTCTTGAAGAAAGAAGGTTTACTACTAGGATGAGTCAAGGAAGGGCTATCCAGGGATGTCCACAGACGATAAAAACATCAGAGACACTACAGATAGGGCAGTCTGGGATGCGTTTCTGACAACTGAAGTAAAAGATAAAATTAACCTGTGCCTATAGGTCTGATTTTTCAGTTGTTCCATAGCCACTGACAATGGAAGTTGACAGTTTCAAAATAAGCATACTGAGTGCACAGGAGGAAAAAAAACAGGAATTCTGAGTTGAAAAATCAGTATAATAAAACAATAGAAAAATTAGACACTAGAGCAATACAGCCCTAAGATTATTTAACTGTTATACTCACTCGTCCAATCTAAGTAACAATTATCTTTTGGGTCATTACTTCTCAAAACTCCATATACTTTTGATAAGCCACCATGTGTTGCCTGCAGACAAGCCTCCTTAACAGCTACATGAGCT